GCCCTGGTTTCTTAATAGAAGGTTGCTCTCTTGGGCTTGAGCTTCCCAACCCCTGGCCCGTGGTAATGGTTAACAAAATCCTATCAACTGAATGAGATGTGATGCCCCTCGGAGGTTTGGAAACTTCGAGAAACTTTACAGATCATTAATCTCTAATGTCAACCGGTAGGGCATTTTGGCTGGGGGTTGGGAGGGGGTGGCGGTGTGATTTTTTTCTGAAATGCAGGACTTCCTTGGAGATGCCCACTCTCCCGTGGAATCCCTGCTGCTCCGCTCAACTGGGCAGTGGCTCCCCCCTCCATTTCTCCGACTGGCTGGCTGGGGCCTGAGATTACTCGGGGGCATTGCAAAGTCAAAGAATGAAGGCAATGTGAGATTAATTAAAATAAAAACCCACAGGGCTTTGGGGGAGTCCAGCAGTCGGCCAATTGAGGCATGAGAGGCTTGCTTCCAGAGCCCCCTTGTTTCTCAGGTGCCCCTCATTTCTCAAGGGTGGCCCCAGATGTTTCTCTTGTGGGTTCTCTTGTGTGCTTTGGGACCCCCAGAGCAGGACTTCTGCCTGCTCAGTAACCTGCCTGAGGTTATTCTTTTTTTTTTTTTTTTAAAGATTTTATTTATTTATTTGACAGAGAGAGACACAGTGAGAGAGGGAACACAAGCAGGGGGAGTGGGAGAGGGAGAAGCAGGCTTCCCGCTGAGCAGGGAGTCCGATGCGGGGCTCGATCCCAGGACCTTGGGATCATGACCTGAGCCGAAGGCAGACGCTTAACCACTGAGCCACCCAGGCGCCCCTGCCTGAGGTTATTCTTAACCTTTGCTTCTCTCCTGGAGCCCTGCCCATCATCCCTGCCCCACTCACTCATAGAGGTCATGGGGGTGAGCTCCCGGGGGTCCCCACTGCACCCCACTCCGTCATTGACTGCCATTCTTAACCTGCTTAGAGTAGAACCTCTCAACTTCAGCGCTCTTAATATTTGGGGTTAGATAGGTCTTGGTTGTTGGGGGGGCTGTCCTGTGTATTGTGAGAAGTTGAGCTGCATCCCTGGTCTCTCCCCCCAACAACATCTTGTAGCACTGCCTCTCTCCAAGTCATGACAATCGAAAGTGTCTCTGGACATTGCTAGCTGTCCCTAGTTGAAAACAACTGCACTGAGGGAGATAACCTTTCCTTCGTCCAGGGCACTTCCCCACCTGGGTCTCCCTGCTCTCTTCTCTGTACTCGGATCTCCATCTGCCCCGGAGCCTTTCCCTTTCCAGCCTACAAACATTCAGTACTCCCTGAACCCCATTGCCCACCACCCATCTCCAGCCTTCCCCTGCCCAGCCTCCCTGGTGGGCCCTAACCACCCTCCTTCTCCCCTCTCACCCACTGCACTGCCCACAGCATCTGGCTTGTGTCTCCCATCGCTTTGCTTTGCCCATGGCTCTTGTGAAGGTAATCCCTCACCTCCTGAGTGCGTCTCCTGTCCCCTCACCCCAGCTGACCTCTCTGGGTCTGCTACTCTCTACTCCCCCCTCCCTGGGGGGCGGGCAGGAACGCACAGTCTCTTGCAGAGTTTTCACCGGCACCTGGCTCCTTTCCACCTTCTCTGCTCCCTTCCTGGGCTCGGATGTTAGCTCTCTCTCCATCGAGGGCCAATCCCTACTGCCATCCACTCTCAGCCCAGTTTTGAATTTACATAGTCAAACTCCTTCATCTAGAACAGGGGCCAGCAAACTATAGCCCATAGGCCGGCTCCTGCCTGCCCGCGTGGGTTTTATAAATAAAAATAAAATAAAATAAATAAATAAATAAATAAATAAATAAATAAATAAATAAATCTTCTAAAAAAAAGAATACGTACATTGGCTTACCATAAACCCTATTTATGGTTTTTTAATTAAAATGACAAGTAATGCACGCTCATTGCAAAAAATTTGCAAAACCCTGGAGAGGAAAAAACAGAAGTCCCCTTGCAACACTCTTATCACTCAAATCATCCCATTTCTATTCTGGGAGGTGACTGTGCTATCAGTTTGTGTCTTAATTGTATGTGGGTGCGTGCGCAGAGTTATGTGAATTTTAACCCATGCATAGAGTTCTGTGACTGTCCCCACAACTGGGATGTGGAACAGTACCATCACCCCAGTTCCCTCCAGGCATCCCTTTATGGTTATGCTCTCTCCATCCCCAAACCTAGCAACACTGATCTGTTCTTCATTGTTTTCTCTGTAGACTTTAAAACATATCTTATAATTGAATTAATATTCTTTTTAAAAAAGATTTTATTTATTTGAGAGAGAGAGAGAGAGCGCGAGCATGAGCGGTGGGAAGGGCAGAGGGAGAGGGAGAAGCAGGCTCCTCACTGAGCATAGAGCCCAAGGCGGGGCTCGATCTCAGGACCCTGAGATCATGACCTGAGCCGAAGTCAGTCGCTTAACTGACTGAGCCACCCAGGCGCCCCAATTGAATTAATATTCTTAACGTTTGACATTTTAAATTTAAGCCCTCATAAGATTTGCTCACAGATTTCCTATTTGTGAATTTGCCTCGTGGCTAAAATTAATTTGTAACTCTAAAGTCAGTACTCAGTGCACTTTGGTGGTTCTTCTGGACCTGCGTAGAGCATCAATCAGGTCACCTGGGTCT